TTGATATATGGTACAAAAGCAACCAGCAGTGGAAATAATGTCCCAGTTCAGACATCACACTAAAACACAGTTTAGCATGCTAAGAGTTAGCTGCATTGGGAATTAAATATTTTGTGTGCATGCATGTGGCTTTGTGTATGTGTACACACACACACACACACACACACACACACATATATATATATATACACACAGAGAGAGAGAGAGAGCTGGAATTGTTGCTGTGCCCCCACCCCTGATTATGCTATCAGAAGGCATTGGTATTATGTAACTGTTTGTTGAATATGCAAATCCCTCCCGTCAGCTTCCTGAAATATGCTCAGGTTAAAATTTATAGATCAAAGTAAAACTGAAGGATCTTACAGTTGGTAATAAATTGCTCTATGTTCTCTCATTCAGAGTTCCTGCCCTCCCACAGCAACATAAACATTTACAGTCATCCATTTTACTACACCCAATGCATTATCTACCACATTTATTTTTAAAAAATGTTAGCGGCTGCGTTTTTATTTTTATTCTAGTACTGTTACCCCTGTATGGCATTTCTAATACCACTGTATTAGATAGTTCAATGATAATTCAAGTTATATAAATAAGAAGCTATGAAAATTAAACTTGAAGCTTATGACTTGAAACAAAGTTATTGCAAGAATGGAATCACTTCTAATTTTGCAGCAGAAATTCCCCAGCTTCTCCGCTGCCTCTGTGAGTCCCTCCAAATATGTTCTGGAGGTTTAGTAGATGGGGAGAGAGCAGGGGAGAGAAAGAAGAGGTTCTATTGTGTATTTTCTTTGGATAAACCCTGTGTTTAAGATCATGGAGAATTAAATTATTGATAATAATAATAATAATAATAATAATAATAATAATAATAATTTTATTATTTATACTCCACCAAACAGGCTGGCTTTCCCCAGCCACTCTGGGCAGCTCCCAACAGAACACTAAAAACAGAATAAAACTTCAAACTATAAACAGCAGCAGTTTACAAGTTGAACAAGAACATTTAAAACACCGCATTATATTGATGACTCTTCCTTACATCAAACTAACAAGAGGCTGTACAACATGGTCTTTAACCTAAATGGTTAACACTGAAAAATCACAACCTATAAAATTGACAATTAATTATGTCAATAACTTTTTGGTTATTGTTTTCTTTACAACATGGATTTTTATTTTTTTAAAAAAAGTTAAGAAAGCAGACCACAAAAAGAAGAGCACTAGATCACTAATTTAGGGGGAAAGGAACTCATTTATTTATTATTTAACCATTTATTATTTATTATTCAATATACTTATTTATATTGATCGGTTTTTCCTCTGTGTTTTAAGCTGGTTTAATAGAATTGTAGAGTCCGAAGGGACCCAAGGGTCATCTAGTCCAACCCCCTGCAATGCAGAAATCTCAGCACATGGTCCCACATTCAATCTGAAACCATACAGGACCCTGCTTAACTTTGCAGATATGCTAGCACCAACACATTAAAACAATACAAAAACTATTACAATAAATGTAAATAAATAAACAGCAAAAACAGCAAGGTTTACAGTCCTTGGAAAGCTTGTGGCTTAAGAAGAAGCTCACTGTCTATTGAGAGAGTTTTAAATTATGCAAGCAAATCACAGGGAAAAAATGCACCTGAATTTGATTGGAATCGGACTAGAATCTGATCAGAAGCACTGAAGAGGTAAATCAGAATCCGTAAGAGAGAATCCATGGTGCCATAACATCTTTATCTCTTTTTTTAAAAAAGCTGCAATTCCCTGCTTGCTGCACTTGCTGAATAAGCTTGAACATAATCATGATCTCCCAAATTTCATCAATCCACTGTAGTTTAGGAGGTTGCTTGGGAGAATTCCAATTACATGCTATACATGATTTTGATGCTGTATATAATTGCTTAAGAGGGTCTTTATGTAGGAATCCAGGGTCGTTAGGTTCAAAATGATGAAGCCGCACATTTTTTCGGAGTTACCTACTAACTAGTGTGGAGAAATTCATAGCAGCAGTAATCAGCAAGTATGCTCCAGAACCCCCAACTAAAAGCTGGTATATAGTAAAACAAACACAACAGCAATCACAGTAACAATTCTGCAACTCCTCCGTGCTGGTTATATTCAGGTAGCCAATGATCAAGCACTTCCAAACTCCCACAATTTTCAGGTGGGATCCAATCGCATACTAGCAAATTCAGGTCACGCTATTAAAGTTGATTCAGAGCTCCTGTGCAATGTTATCTACTTCTCTGGAAAATCAGACTTTTAGCAAGAAGAAAATTGATGGGGAAATGCCCTGGATAAAGTGTGGGATAATATTTGCTTGATGCAACATTGTATAAGCATCCCACAGACAAATAAGGCTAAATAAATAGCCAGCATCGCTTAACCTCCCAACAAAGTTGTTGCAAAGAAAGTAGGAATAACACTCAAAAATCAGGAAGCTCCCAAAAACAAGGCCTGTCTCTTTTCCTTCCTGAAGGATTTTTTCCTCCTCATTATCTAGATTCCCCCCCCAAAAAAAATTTTTTGGTTTTGCTCTAATTTAACTTAAATCCTGCTACTTGTCCAAACTCCTGAATCAGTGCCAGTGCTTTCAGTGCACTGGAATCTGGATCTTGTAACGTTAACACCAAATCGTCAGCAAAGGCTTTTAACTTATATTGTTTGGATCCTACTGTTATACCTTTAACCTCTTCCTCATTCCTTAGCATGTTTAGCAAAACCTCCAGAACCGAAATAAAAAGCAGAGGGGGAAATGTTATGAAAATTAGGCATCGTAAGAAGTAAGTGTTTTTTGTGTTTAGTTTCTTTTTGTATTGAAATGTGGGTTTGTTTGTTTTTGTGTTTTTTGTAATGTCATTTTTGTTACAAATGTGGAAAATTAATAAAAAAATCGGGGGGGGGGGAATCAGGAAGCTACCAAGGAACCAGGTGTAATCCTCAAAAGTTCAACAGAGCCTACAACCCAAGAAAAGCTTTTCACAAACCTCAAGCACACCAATTCACAGCTTTCTCGTGAAACTAGAAAACAGCAGCTAACCATCTCTCGTGCTCATCACTCACATAGGAAGTTGACTTAAACCAAGTCAAAACACCAATCCATCTAGCCTAGTAATGTCAGTTGCTTTTCCACGCTTCAGACTGGAGTCTCTCCCAGCCCTACGTGGAGATGCCAAGGATTAAATTGGCCTTCTACATGTGAAACAGATGCTTTATAGTCAACCATGTTGTTTCCTTTCAGACCACCCCTGCCCATTTCCCCCCTCCCAGCTCTTTGTGCAAAGTTCTCCTTCATTCTGAGTCAGCATTAAGGTTGCATGGAGCTCCCAATCCTGCTTTGCTTTCCCATAACCTCATGAGCACATTTTTAAAAAGGACACTTCTTAGGACAATGCATGCCATGAAATGGGACTCTCTTTGCGATAAGAAACAACATCCTTCAGTGTTGACTAGACTCAAGGGGAGGAACAGATCTTTGATGCAGTTGGTATTACCCCCAAGCCAATAGTGGAGGCTCTATTTCCCTCTGAATCCATTGCATGTGTAAACTATATATAATTTAAAAACACAGCTGCCCCCAAGGATGTCCTGAAAGGCAAACATGGAAAAGTGAATAAGCTATTTGGAGGACGGAATTGGGCCTCATACGTTGTCCTTGCAAAGGGTAGATGATCTGAGTACCATGCTCAAAATGATCTATTTTATTCTGCATTCATCTAAATGTGGAGAAGTCAGCAAATACCGATTTCAACTGTGAAGGCATTTCTACAGTAGCACATTTTCACCCAAATATGTAGCAGATTAAAAGAGGATTCCTATTAACAGTAAAATGAATTCCCGTCTTCAATTGTTCACTTGGTATTAAAATTTATCACACGACATTGGACATTATTCAGTTCAGTCTGAGAACACAGCATCGGTTTGTCACAACAGCATAGTGGATGATAGCCAAGAATACGATGTGGTAAAGCTTTGAGTGCTTTGCAAGCTTTGCTAACTGTCTTGGGATTTATTTATTTTTTTGTTCTTTTCTTCAGTTTCCTAGTGTTGACATTATATCGTTTCTTTCCGACAGTTCAACAAAGGAGATATACTTTATCTTTGTTTGAACTATCTTGGAAAATGTAACACCTATCCTTAGTTTAACATAAAAGAAAATAGCTACATTCTTCGTAAACTAAATAATAATTGATGACTTTGATCTAGTCAGGTGCATCCTTTGAGAAGGACATAATCATCCATCATCGCGATTATGAGAAAAAGAGAAATACCACAGATTCACAAAGTGCATCTTCTTATATTCCTAGTTTCCCCTACCTAGAATGAAGTTTTGCAGAAGATGGCTATGCTCCCCGGCGTTGTTGTTGTTGTTGTTGTTGTTGTTGTGTACCCACCCTTCACCATAAGTTCCCAGGTTGCAACAATTTAACATGCAACATTAAAAACAGTTTTAAAACTTACAATTCAAAAATACAACCACAAAAATAGGGTGGTTTCTGATAATGTACATCTCAGGTGATAAAGGCCAGCATAAAGGCTGTATCTTCGGCATTTGCTGAAAAATACATTATGAAGTTGCTAAACACACCTGTGTGAGAAGGAAGTTCCACAAATTAGGGGCTGCCAGAGATAATGCCCTCTCCCAGGTCACCCACTGAGCTTCTGAGGACAGTGAAACTATCAAGAGGGTCTCATCTGCTTATCTTAACACCCATGAGAGTCTTTAGGGAAGGAGGTGAACTCTCAGATATTTGAGGCCTAAGTCATTTAGGGCTTTAAACACTAGCACTGACACCTTGAATTGGGCCCAGAAACCAAGTGGCAACCAGTGTAACTGTTTTAGAACCGGGATTGTGTGAGTTCTAAAGGCAAACAATTTGGCCACTGCATTTTGGACCAGTTGATGTTTCCAAGTTGACTTCAAGGGCCCTCTACAATAATAATCCAATATGAAAGTTAGAAGAGCATGGAGTACAGTGGCCAAGTCATTTGTGTTCAGGAGGGGCTGCAACTGGCAAACAAGCCAGAGCTGTATAAAGGCAGTCCTAGCCACTGAGACCAGCTGAGCCTTCTGTGGAACTGCTCCTTCCAGGAGAGTACAATCAAGTCTACAACAGGTCATCTCTCCACCTCCCAGACATGAGAATTTGTGTCAAACAACCACTCTGTCTTTTCAGGATTCAGCCTCAATTTATTGACCCACATCCAGCCAATCAACTTCTCCAAGCATCAGTCTAACCTCTCCTGATTCAGATGGAACAGAGAAACACAGCTGGGTACCAGCTACACATTGATGGCACTTCACTCAAAATCATATGATGACAGCTCCCAGCAGCTTTGTATAGATGTTAAGTAGCATGGTGGGCAAGATGGAATCCTGCACAAAACGTGCTGAAAGGCTGGCTTAATTGCCTCTTGATGACCCAGTCCACCACTGCTTTCTGTACCAGCAAAATCACTCCAACTTTCATCAAGGGCAGCCCCACATATTGAGTATCCTTCCCACACCAATTGCCCACACCGATTGAGTATCCTTCCTTTGAAATTACAAAATAGTCTCCATCGACTGATTCTGACAAGCATAGTTGCACCCTTCTCAGCAGATGGCCTTTGTGAATGGCATTACAGAGACACTCATGTTGCAGATTCAGGTTCAGACCTAAGGGAAACCAAGGTCCCAGTGACGTTAGGATTTCCCATTGCTCCTTGGCCAAGAGACTGGTTAGCCATCATTTTAAAAACAATGATTGATTTGTATTTAATTTTAAACAGGTTTTTTTCTGTATTTAATTTTAAACAGGTTTTTTTTCTGCATTCAATTTCAACCTACTTATCCACATCTAATCCTTTACCAAAACCAGTCACTGCTATAACACAGAGGCTGTAGGATTCGCAACTTGTTATCATGTTTTAAAATTCCATTTACATGCTTCTATCTCCAAACTGAGTAAGTTGTGGATGCTCAACTGAAAAACTATTTTTCATTATTATGTCTTTCCAAATTCTTCCAGCACAGAACATCCTCTTATAGAGTTTTCTCCCCTTGAGTCTGGAATATACTTTGGCATTCTTTTCAAAATATATATGCATGTACGTTCAATTTTGTTTAACAAAGCTTTGAGAGCTTGAGGATAATTACCCATTGTTATCCATTCACACTGAAGTTGCGCTTGTTTTTCAGAATGGTTCAAACACAATGCTAACAATATTTTAGCATTATGAAAATGAGCTGCAGAGACTGTTGGCCTCATACACTTCCTCTTCCTTCTTCAGAGAAGTTTTTGCTTCCATTTTAGAATTAACTGTTGCTTTTCATGTTTCCAAATTGTATCAAACTGTATTTAAGCTTAACTATGCTTTGCAGAAACAGGCCAAACCGTAGTTTATTAAAATGGCTGGTTTCCACTATTCATAAATTAAGATTAAACCGAGTTTTAGAAAACATGTGAAAGTGCAGTTAAACTAAAACAAAGAAGTGAATCTTCAAGCTGCACTGGAGGACTAGAGGGGAATACTTAAGTCTAAGGTTCAATATTACATCTGAATGCAGCCATTGCATCTAAGTTATTAATTATCCCAGTTGGATGTGTGTCATAAAAGTTGGGGGGAAACATAAAGGCAACCTCTGATATAAGAATCATTATGATAACTTAGATTTATTTCTGAACAGACAGGTATTGGAGTGATTTGGTACTGAATTAAATTGACATTGAATAAATGTCTTTGAAGAACAAGAGTTGTATCCAATGTTGGTCCTACTCAGAGTAGATCCACTGACGTTAATGAACATGACGGATGTTAGTTCATTGATTTCAGTTTGTCTACTCTGAATAGAACTTAGTTGGATACAACTGTAAATATTTTTTGAAAAGGATTCTCAGACTTCTAGTTGAAATTCTAGATGAGCTAGACTTACGGACTCTTGAACTATAATGAATGACAGAAATAGGTAAGTCAGGCGTTGTCATGCAATGAACGGCTTTAGTATCTGTGATTTTTGTTTAAAGAAAAATCTGTTTCATTTCATTTTTTACATGTTATGTGTGTTTTAATTTGGCTGTTACAATAAGAAGTACCGAATCTGATGATTTTGTGTTTTCCTATTCCATATGGCCATGAGAAAAAATATTACTTGGTGCTTCCTCTAATTCATTTTGATTTTACATTCAATATATTCCATTGAGCCCTATGCCAATCCTTAACTGTAGCAGTGCCTGTGGGGAGATTAGGGATGTTTTGTGCCCTTTGTCCCCATATACTTACAGTAGAATTAGAAAACCATTTTGTTGCACAGTGTGTGGATGTTTGCAAATACCTCTGTAGTTAGAGCCATCTGGAATTGGGTAGCTAAAGGGGTCTAGTGTGAGACAAAATCGACAACCACCATGCCTTTAGCAAGCAAACAAAATAATTATATGTTTCAATCATTAAACAAAAAATATATCCTGATGCAAATATTGAAAATTAACCTACACAGGACTATGTAAAAAAATATGATCTGAAAATCAGCAGCACTACAGTCCCAACAGGCTATTTGATAGGTTTGTATAAGTCTTTCCTTCAAGTGCAAGCTGTTTTACTGACCTCTGATTTAGCAGTAGGATTTGTTGCTCTGATGAAATAATGGCGCGCACATGCACAAGTACCCAGCCAGTGGAAGAATTCAGGAGACTAAGATGCAGCTGTGGCCACAGATAAAGTTGATAATAGCCTGTTGAAGTTCCTGTTCAGTTGAGCTTCTTTAGCTCTGCAAAGGCGAAGTATCGCAACCTTTGCTAGTTCACTTTGTCTGCCCTCATCTTGTGCAATCCGTCCTGCAGCAGAGACAGACTCACATTTTGTTAACATACTTGTTATTAAATTTCTAGACTGCTCTTTCTCCTAAAGGAGTCCAGGGCAAGGCCATTTATCTCCACCAACCTTCTTTGCAGTTTGTTCACCCTCAGACTAACCCTCGGATAAATTCAGGCCAGGCCACACTTCCTTTAAATGCTCTCTCTGACTTTAACTTGATCTGCAAACAAAACCTGGATACCTAGACCTGATCCTACCAACATTACAATGCCTCACACATGGCGCCGTCATACCAGCTCTCACCAAACTCCCATTTCTGAAGCCTTATCATCACAGTTCATAGGTGTTCATCTATTAAGCTTCTTCAAGAACCTCAACATACTTAACACTACAATAACTTTGAAATTCTGTCCCTGAAAAAGACCCGTTTCTGTACAAATTTAGGATACAGTTCACCTCATCATCGACCCACACATGCCTTTTATCTCTCTACGTGAATGTGCATTAAAATCAATTTTGACTTTCTAAGCAAATGAAGGAATTATTCATTTCTGTCATGGAATATTAATTTGTCTGCTGTAACGCTACAGGTAGACTGGCACATACAGGTGAGCAAATAATGAATGATCAACATCCTTTCTTTGAGTCTGCACACAGGAGCCTTAGCCTTGAGGTGACAAGGTCAATAAACTAATTCCACCAGTGTAAGAGCTGTCACTGGAATTATAAATCAAGCAACTTCAGATATACAATATTAATTGTTTATGCCATGACACAGAACACATTTGCATGAGTTTCAAAGTTCTTTTCTGTTTGCTAAGGATGTTTTTCTAGCGTTCATGTAAAATGGGAATTGAACTCTCTTTACAAAACAGGAGTATTCTATTAACCAAAAGCCACTACAACACTTTATTTCATGTGCGTGTGTGTGTGGTATAATATGATCCATTAACAAAGCCTGCAGAGACGCAGACAAAAAATCATAATATATAATTCAATAATAAAACATACCCTCTTGTTAAAAACAAAACCAAAAAACTTCAATATTTATTAGTAACATCTGCATCTATGTACAGTGGGAGAAAAGCTTCTAACCTCAATCAAATGAAACTTTAGTGAAAGTTAGTTGTGCTAAAGATATAGTAAAATCAGTGGGACTTAAATTAATCACATGTAATTTGTCCCATTGTTTTCAATAAGATTTAAGCATGGTGATCTTTAATTGGCCTGTGACCAAAGTACTTCAAAAACACGGAGCTAAAGAATTATAGAATCATAGAATTGTAAAGTTGGTCATCTAGTCCAATCCCTGCAATGCAGAAATGTCAGCTAAAGCATCCATGACAGATGACCATCTAACTACTGCTTAATGAATGAATATTGCTTGATTGTACAGTGGCACCTCGGGTTACATATGCTTCAGGTTACAGACTCTGCTAACCCAGAAATAGTGCTTCAGGTTAAGAACTTTGCTTCAGGATGAGAACAGAAATCAGGCTTTGGCGGCGCAGCGGCAGCAGGAGGCCCCATTAGCTGAAGTGGTGCTTCAGGTTAAGAACAGTTTCAGGTTGAGTACGGCCCCCCGGAACAAATTAAGTACTTAACCCGAGGTACCACTGTATTATTTTATTGTATTTTAGCTGGTTCATTAATCTGTAGCATGCTGATGCACATTGTAGCAGAGCATAGTTTGGCTCCTTCCCTCATGTTACCTCCCCACAAGGAAACAAGCCAAAGTCTAACTTGTGCTTTGTTGTTTCTCTCCAAGCCATTAGTAGTAGCTATGGTACGTTCTTGGTTCTGGCAGAAATAGGAAGGAGCGAAGTGAGAACTTTTGAGGAGTGTGTATTGTCACACTATTGTTTGCATTAAACCATAGATTATTTTTATCCAGAGCTTACTGTAACATACAAAGTGCACCATAAAAGGGAACAAAAACTGTACCTGAATGAGGCACCATTGCTACAACAGATAGCAAAGAAATGGTGATTTGTGAAGTACAGTGGTAAAGGTAAAGGTAAAGGTAAAGGTAAAGGTAGCCCTGCCCGTACGGGCCAGTCGTGTCCGACTCGGGTTGCGTGCTCATCTCGTTTAAGAGGCCGGGAGCCAGCGCTGTCCGAAGACACTTCCAGGTCACGTGGCCAGCGTGACGAAGCTGCTCTGGCGAGCGAGCACCAGCGCACGGAAACGCCGTTACCTTCCCGCAATAAAGCGGTACCTATTTATCTACCTGCACTTGGGGGTGCTTTCGAACTGCTAGGCTGGCAGGAGCTGGGACCGAACGACGGGCACTCACTCTGCCACGGGGATCCGAACCGCCGACCATGCGACCGGCAAGTCCTAGGGACTGAGGTTTTACCCACAGCGCCACCCGCGTCCCTAAGTACAGTGGTATCTCGGGTTAAGTACTTAATTCGTTCCGGAGGTCCGTACTTAACCTGAAACTGTTCTTAACCTGATTGCACCTCTTTAGCTAATGGGGCCTCCTGCTGCTGCTGAGCCACCGAAGCACGATTTCTGTTCTCATCCTGAAGCAAAGTTCTTAACCTGAAACACTATTTCTGGGTTAGCAGAGTCTGTAACCTGAAGCGTATGTAACCCGAGGTACCACTGTACAATTCTTCAGAACAGAAATTAACAATATAGAATTGCAAGCATATAAATTTACACAGGCTTTGAAGAGAATAGAAACCAGCTCAAATCAGAATACCTGGTTTAAATTATGAGAAATCTTAATATATTTTTGCACTGGAAAATAAAATAAAATCTGCTTTGGATCTTGCATATGAAGTAGGAGATGCATCTCAATTCAAACCATGACACATAAAACAGAAGCGAACCCTTTATGAAAAGGGGTCTCCTATGCAAACCAAAGGCACAGAGAGACAGATTCAATTGCACAGTGAAAACAAAAAAGGGAGAACAACCCGCTGCCCAAATTCCCAGCCCAAAGTTGTTTCTTATGCTACTACATAAACAGCACATATACTGAAAGATTTGGACCTCTCGTTGCTAAAAGAATCACCTTGAACAGAGGTGATTCTTACCCTGTTTAAAGTTTATCAGATTAATTGTTTGAAGAAAGCAAAAAGGTCCTTAGAACTGTGTTGAGCTTCCAAAAAATATTGAACACTACCAAAATCTGGGACATTGCTTCCTGATGTGGTAATAAAATGTCTGAGACTGCCAATCTAGAGCTAAATTAAGTCACCCTCTTGGCCTTTTCTGCAGCAAAATTAGTACTGCAGTGCCTGCTGTCTGCTTTACTATGAACACCTGTGCCTAGTTAGAGGAACGGCAACTGTACTGCCTAGTGGTTAATGGCAGCCATTGCCGGGAAGTCTGATTGCTGAATGGATTCAGATTTCCTCTGGCTCAAGCGAACAAACACAAAAGCCATTGCTGTAGCTCTCCTTCAGCAGCCAGCTTTTCTGCCTGCTAGATAAGCCATCTATGCAAGGCTCACTTCTCTATTTCAGAAGCTTTGCAGAAGACCCCTAGCTTCTGTTCAAAGAGGAGACGATCTATTTGAAGCAATGGGTTTTATGTCAGTTCTATTCCCAGTTTCGCCTAAAGCCCAATGTATCAATGAGATGACAATCCTATGTTTGGGCTATAGGGGACTCGGAGGACTGAATGTGTCTTCTTACTGTATTTTTCCATGTAGAAGATGCCCACTATTTTTGGGACTACAAATTAAGAAAATGGGGGGAGATTGCCAAGAGTTGTTGAGCTTTTTTTTTTGGGGGGGGTGCCGAAAGTCGCTCACCCGCCTGCCCAACGCTGCGAATCACACACATCGCCAAATTGCTGCAGTGGCAGCCAATCAACAGCAGCCCTTGCCGCAGCCACCAATCAAGTGCCCAATCGCCACATACAATCTCCTGCTCACAGCTAAAACCAATTGCCCATCCCCACTCTGCACTATCCATGTATGAGACGACCCACAATTTCAAACATTATTTTATAATAAAAAAACATCGTCTTATACACGGAAAAATACGGTACCTACCACCCCAAACTCTCTCCACATACACACCAAGCATTCTAGGAGAAAGGTTCTAAGACTGCAATCCAACCCCCCACAGTCCTGCCATAGCTTTGTGGAGCAATAGGACAACTGCTCCATTTGCAGCCTTTCTGCATGTGGCAACTAAAGCAGCATTCTGCCTCCAGAATGCTATTTTAAATTCTAAATAAGAATGAAGAATGATTTCAAAAGAAAGCCTGGTCTAATGCATTTGTCTAGCAGGAATAATGCCAGCCACGATGTAGTGCCAGCATTTCCCCTTCTATTGCTTTTTGCTCATAAATAAAATGTTCACCATGCTATATTGGTAATAAAGATTGATTTTGTAAAATCAGGCCTCCATTTGTGTGCGCCCCGTTTCTGAGCACACAATGTTTTTTTGTAACTCAGTTTGGCCATTATTGTAATGAGGAATGAGGTCTACCAAAAGCACAAAGCCTCTGTCAAAATGCTAAATGAGAACAGCTTTGGTTGTAGGAAATTAACAAACCATTATAACTTCAAAACCATTTGCACTAAACTAATCTATTATACTTTCATAGGCAATATATATTGAACATACTTAGAAGCAGAAGTAACTAGTATGAAGCACGGAAGCATAATAGCATTTGTGGGATGTGGGATTAAATTTAATCACCTACGTGAGAAAAATAAAAGCAGTGAGAAAATTGGTATTTTAATGCTTCTAGATATTGGGTTGCATTTGACTATGTCTTGCTCAGAGTAAACCCAATTAAATAAATGGATTAACTTAAGCCTACTGATTCCAACAACTCTACATATTGAGTTTAACTTAGTCTGATATAAACTAAAAATTGCATATACAAACTAACATTTGCAAGAAAGTATTTATTATGTTTAATATCAACATTCTGAAAGTTAATCAATGATTTCCTATCCTTAACCCTGAATTAGTTGGATCATAAAATATAACATAAATCTATAACTCTGTAACTTTCATTGATCCTGAAATATTCCCACTCTACTGAAGCACATTGGAAGGTTATTGTAGATTTGAATAATGAGAATGGTAAAATCTGCTCACTTAACTTCAGGAATTCTACAAGGCAAGCATTCTTAAAACCATATGCAAATTCTAATTCACATTAATTATTGTGATTGATAATTAATATGAAGTTTATGGCTATAACCTTTGTGATTATTTTTTTTAGTGCAGAAATAGTGAATTCATTGTGAATGCTACACATCTCAAAGAGATTTCAAAATGAGTGAAAAGAAACACAAATAAGAAACTAGACACTGGCTTCCTTTGGGGCACCATTAGTTCTAAAAAAAAGAGACAGTTGTTGCAAGTATTCAACATCTGGAGGCTGCTTAGGTTATTTCACCCACTAAAGAACATTTCAGCTGCCCATTATTTGTTTAAAATAACAAAAAAGAAGGAAGAAAAGAAAACAGCGCCAATGATGCGTGCTTCAGAGTAAAGGGAAATGTTCTATTAATAAGATCATGCAAATGTTCTCTCTCATTTGCTAAATTAAATAAATATTACTCCAGATACCACGTTTTAAAATCAAAGATAAATGCTGAGATGCTTTAAGTCAAGAGTTCTGGGCACAGGCAGCTACCGCTATAGGATGTACATCCAGTATTCATTGTATCAGCTACATAGAGACAAAGAGAGACCAAGATAACATGGTAGTTTACAAGGCCTGGAACAGTGCCAATACTGGCTTTATTAAACATCTGCTCTTGGAACCTATCTGTACGCATTCAGAATCCTTAGGGCTGCCATACATCTGGGAATCGCTCAGAAAAATGGCGTCCGGGTGGTTTTTTTCTGAATCGGCAAAATGTCTGGGAAAACATGGCCGTATGGCAAGTAGGGTGATTTTTATTTTTTGAGAAAGTAAAAATCAAAGCCCCCAAGCAATTATTTTTTTGGGGGAGGAGATGTTCC